ATTGACCTCCAACAACTACAACCATCTTCCTATGTGTCAGGTCTGACTCCAACCACCGGAGAGTTTGCCACCTGTTACCCCCCATTGATTCCAGTTTTACTAGGGCTCCTTGATGCCACACTCAGTCAAATGAAACCTTGATATCAAGGGCTGTCACTCTTGCCTCACTTCTGGAATTCAGCTCTTTTGTCCATGTTTGAACCAAGGCTGTAATGAGGTCAGGAGCTGAACATTGCTAGGTCGATACCAGTTTTATAACTGTACTAGAACAGCTTGTCTAGGGGAGCGGCACGTTCTGGAGCACAAGTCTTCAGTACTATTGCCAGAATGTTGTGAGGGCCCGTAGCCTTTGCAGAATCCTGTCTCCAACAGTTTCTTGATATCATGTGCAGTGAATTGAATTGGCTGAAGACTGGTATCTGTAATGCTGGGGATCACTGGAGGAGGCCGAGATGGATCATCCACTCGGCGCTTCTGGCTGAAAAGGCTGAAGCATTCACAGCAATCATCTTTTGCACTGATGTGCTGGGCTCTTCCATCATTGAGGAGGGGGATATTTGTGGAGCCACCTCCTCCAGTGAGTTGTTTAATTGTCCACCACCATTCACGACTGGATGTTGCAAGTCTGCAGAGCTTAGATCTGATCTGTTGGTTGTGAGATCACTTAGCTTTGCCTATCACTTGCTGCTTTTGCTGTTTGGCGTGCAAGTAGTCTTGTTTGGTGGCTTCACCAAGTTGATACCTCATCTTCAGGTACGTCCGGTGCTGCTCCTGGCATGCCCTCCTGCACTCTCAATTGAAACAGGATTGATCCCCTGGCTTGAGGGTAATGGTTGAGCGGGGGATATGCCGGGCCATGAGTTTACAGATTGTGCTGGAGTACAATTCTGCTGCTCTTGATGGCCCACAGCGCCTCCTGGATGCCCAGTCTTGAGCTGCTAGATCTGTGTGAAGTCCGTCCCATTTAGCACAGTGATAGTGCCACACAACATGATGGAGGTTGTTCTCAATGTGAAGGTGGGACTTGGTCTCCACAAGGACTGTGCATTGGTCACTCTTACCGATAATGTCATAGACAGATGCAACTGCAGCTGTCAGATTGGTAAGAATGGGGTCAAGTATGTTTTTCCCTCTTGTTAGTTCCCTCACCACCTGCCACAGACCCAGTCTAGCAGCAATGTTCTTTAAGAGCTGACCAGCTCAATCAGTAGTACTGCTGCTGAGCCACTCTTGGTGGACATTGAAATCTCCCACCCAGAGTACATTTTGTGCCCTTGCCATCCACAGTGCTTTAAGTGTTGTTCAGCATGGAGGAATACCGACACATCAGCTGAGGGAGGACAGTATATGGTAATCAGTAGGAGGCTTCCTTGCCCATGTTTAACCCGAAGCGATGAGACTTCATGGGGTCTGGTGTCAATGTTGAGGACTCCTAGATCAACACCCTCCCAACTGTAGACCACTGTGCCACCACCTCTGCTGGGTCTGTCCTGCTGATGGGACAGGACATAGCCGGGGTGATGATGGTGGTGTCTGGGACATTGTCTGTAAGGTATGATTCTGTGAGTATGACTATGTCAGGCTGTTGCTTAACTAGTCTGTGAGACAGCTCTCCCAATTTTGGCACCAGCCCCCAGATGTTAGTGAGGAGGACTTTGCAGGATCGACAGGGCTGTTTCTGCCGTTGTCTTTTCAGATGCCTAGGTCGACGCCAGGTGATCCATCCGGTTTCATTTCTTTGAGACTTTGTAGCATTTGGTACAACTGAGTGGCTTGCTAAGGCATTTCAGAGGGCAATTGAGAGTCAACCACATGGCTGTTGGTCTGGAGCCACATGCAGGCCAGACCAGGTGAGGGAGGCAGATTTCCTCCCCTGAAGGGCATTAGTGAACCTGATGGATTTTTCCGTCAATCGACAATGATTTCATGGTGATCAGTAGATTCTTAATTCCAGATTCGAACCCGAATCCCCAGAACACTAGCTGGCTTTCTGGATGCATAGTCTAGTGATAATGCAACTAGGCCATCGCATACCCTTAAATTAATTCCCCACCATTTGAGATTATCTGCAAGTGAGCATGAGTTTATTAAGATTTCCTGTATTTTGCCTCTTGCTGGAGTTCTTCAGCTTGTAGGTCCATCTTCTTCATATTTAAGTGTGTTTGTTTTCTCTTTTGGAATGAAGGATTTTAGTGCCATTTAGATAAAGTTTATTGTATTTCTACATATCGCAACTATGTCCAACTCTCTTGGTAGTGTAAGGGGGTTAACTGTGTGATGCTGGAAGAGCTGTTTTTGCAACTTTGAATTACATTTTCATACAAGGTAGAACAGTGGATGTGGTATATATGGATTTTAGCAAGGCGTTCGTTAAGGTTCCATATGGTAGGCTCATTCAGAAAGTAAGGAGGCATGGGATTCAGGGAAATTTGGCTGTCTGGATACAAAACTGGCTGTCCAATAGAAGACAGAGGGTGGTAGTAGATAGAAAGTATTCAGCCTGGAGCTCGGTGACCAGTGGTGTTCTGCAGGGATCTGTTCTGGGACCTCTGCTGTTTGTGATCTTTTATAAATGACTTGAATGAGGAAGTGGAAGGATGGGTTAGTAAGTTTGCCGATGACATGAAGATTGGTGCAGTTGTGGACAGCGTGGAGGGCTGTTGTAGGTTGCAACGGGACATTGACAGGATGCAGAGCAGGGCAAAGAAGTGGCAGATGGAATTCAACCCAGAAAAGTGTGAAGTGAGTCATTTTGGAAGGTCGAATTTGAATGCAGAATACAGGGTTAATGGCAGGATTCTAGGTAGTATGGAGGAACAGGGGGATCTTGGGGTCCACATCCATAGATTCCCCCAAAGTTGCTACCTGAGTTGATAGAGTTGTAAAGAAGGCATATGGTGTGTTGGCTTTCATTGGCAGGGGAATTTAGTTTAAGAGCCATGAGGTTATGCTGCAGCTCTATAAAACTATGGTTAGACCACACTTGGAATATTGTGTTCAGTTCTGGTCACCTCATTGTAGGAAAGATGTGGAAGCTTTAGAGAGGGTACAGAGGAGATTTACCAGGATGCTGCCTGGACTGGAGGGCAGGGTCTTATGAGGAAAGGTTGAGGGAGCTAGGGCTTTTATCATTGGAGTGAAGAAGAATGAGAGGTGACTTGATAGAGGTGTACAAGATGATGAGAGGCATAGATAGAATGGATGGTCAGAGACTTTTTCCCAGGGCAGAAATGACTGTTATGAGGGGGCATAATTTTAAGGTGACTGGAGGAAGGTATAGGGGAGATGTCAGAGGTAGGTTCTTCACACAGAGAGTGGTGGGCGTGTGGAATGCGATGCCGGCAGTGACAGTAGAGTCAGATACTTTAGAGACTTTTAAGCGACTCTTGGATAGGCACATTGGAGGATAGTAAAATGTAGGGTATGCAGGGTAGATTGATCTTAGTAGGATAATAGGTCGGCACACCATAGTGGGCCGAAGGGCCTGTACTGTGCTGTATGTTCTATGTTCTTGAAGAGGATGTTGGAAATCTGAAATAAAAACAATAAAGTGCTGAAGAAAGTCAGCAGGTCTGGCAGCATCTGTGGAGAGAAAAACAGTTAGCATTTCTAGTTCAGTACGATTTTTGGCAGTTCTGAAGAAGAGTCATACTGAACTCAATATTAACTCCATTTCTCTCTCTACAGATGCCAGACTTGCTGAGTATCTCCAGACTTTGTTTTTATGAACACTTTTGTTCTATTCTCTAAAAGGTGAATGAAAAGTTCTTTTGGTTAATAAGTCATAAGTAATTACTACAAAACAACTGGTTTCGTTTCTCCATAATTTTTAATGGTGTTTTCCAGTTTCATTCAACTAGTTAACCAAAGTACACTAACACACATTATGGCTTGAGTTCAAACATCTAAATATTGGTTAGTAAACTTGCTGATGGTGTATGGCTGAAATAATCTGTGTCGCTGGTATCCTAATTGCTGCAAAAGCTACTGTCTTCAACATACTATTTGAGCACTTTTGTATTTGAGATGCTGGAGATGTTCCCCTTGGGGAAACCAAAGTTGCAAGGCGATTTGACAGAGGGGTGTTGACAGAATAGATGGGGGGAAGAATTTGTGTTGGCGGAAGGTTTGGGAAGCAGATAATATCCATTCAAGGTAATTGGCAAAGAACCACCAGTGCCATAAAGGGGGAAAAAAATGTTTGTATTGCAGCAAGTACTTAGGATCTGGATTGCACTGGACAAGTGCGAAGTGGGCATGTTTAGTTCTGGCCACAAATGAGAATTAGGAAATGACCTGGAAAGGGAAAATTTGCAACGCCACAAGAAAAATGTCTCATTCTTTTGCAATGTATGATTTTTCTGCTGGAACAAGCATGAGCATGACTGACTGACTGAATTTCTCCTTTGCCTTCCATGGCCCTGTGATTAAGTGAAGAAGCAAGTGGTGGAATTAAATTCTAAAACTGGAGGGCATTGTCATACAATTTCCTCCTTTTATGAAAGGTGAATGTGGACTCTGGTGGAGCTAATGACCTGTTTCCATGTTTCAGCGTCAGTGCCATCCCTCACATCCTCTCCGTGGATAGAACAACTTGTTGTGAGTTCTGGAGGTAATATGGGACAGGCATCAATGATCATTGCATCACAGAGTCCTTGAAGACCTGAGCTCATTGCTGCATGCAAGTTAGTATGATCATTAAAAACACCAGCACTTCTTCATTGACCCAGCAGCAGAGGTCCCTCTCAAGGACAAACAGTGGACAGCTTTCAACTGAATCCATAGTGAACCTGCATGGTACAGCCACCTGCACCACATGTAAAAGACAGAGGAATGACCTGAAGTGTGGTTGTGGCCATGAGTCCCATGCCATGGAACACGCCACATTAATGTGTCCAGTAAGACCTGTCACTTGATATATCTCATCCTTCCACTGTGCTTCTTGTGAAGTCTTTGATTGGATAACCAACCAACGCATTGCCTCTAGCAACAGAAGACAGACACCCTAATGAGGAGGAAGATGTGCTGTACTTCATACACCTGCATAAAAGCTTATCAGTCCTGGTAAGAGCACTAAAAGTCAACTAAAGTAGATGCCTATATGCTGAATGAGGTCCTATCAGAGGAAGAGCAGAAACCATAGTAATTGCGCTTAGGCCTTCTTTTTAAGAGTGGGAAGGGTGGCAGTAGCATATTGTTGCAGTGCAATAGGAGTTGAAGGGCCAAGATAGATTCAGAAGCAGGAATGTAGTTTATATAGCAAAATCCTCCCCACTGTCAGGATGCTATATGTTGTGGTCATGTCCACTAGGTCTAGCTGAGATACCTGGGGTAGATTCAATGTCCCCAATCTTTCTTGTTGGTATTAGTCTGTTCCTAATACCAAAGTGGGGAAGAATGTTCTTCTGAAGTTTTGGCAAAAGATAGTCCAATTTTGATATACAGCAAAAGTTTTGTACTTTTAAAAAAAAATGTATATTCTGTCTGAGATGTGCAGTTGTCTCCTGTGAGATATCAGGCTTGATTTAAGAGTAGGTACACATGACTGCATACGGTAACACTGGAATTCACCTGATTAGCTTCTCCCAGGGTTGGTGCTTTTATATCCTGATGGGAGGAGCTTATCCTATGCTTCCAGTTAGAACCTGAAAGGGTTATCTGTCTATTACAATGCAATGGACTTTCATCATGATGGCAAAGCAGACAGGCTGTCTGAATGGAAACTACATTTTTTTGCAGTTCTCTCTGAACAAGGTTCACAAATGAGATTTGACTACAGTAATGTGTGCGGTTTCTTTTTAAAAAGAAACAAAAGTGCTCAGCCGTTCAAGTACATGTGGAGAGAAAAGCAAAGCTGATGTTTTGAAAGCATATAGTTTGAGCCTGTTCTCCTGAAAGGTCCACTTTGAAATGTTAAAGTCATGTGTTCTGTCCATGGATGCTCACTGCCCTGCTCAGCGCTTCCACCACTTTTCAGTTATTGTCTTGAATCTCTATAGCACCTTCATTTTCTTTTTCTTTGCTGTTTTAATATGTCCCAATCCTGAATGAAATTCTTCCACAAAAAATAAATAAATGAACCTATGGGTCATGTAAACTATATCTTGCTGTGTTCCATTGAATTAAAAAGTACCGATTTATAAGGCAAAGGTGATCAAAATATCAGATTCCTTTAGGATCGTGGTAGAATATCAAAAGCACAAAGTATTAAAACATTAATGCCTTAACAAGGTGTAGAGCTGGATGAACACAGCAGGCCAAGCAGGAAGGCTGACATTTCGGGCCTAGATCCTTCTTCAGAAAATCCTTAAATGCCTTAACAATCCTGCTTGAACTATTTATCTATTAAAACCATCTAATTGCCAATCTAAGTTTTTATAGCAATCTCTAGCTACTGGCACTTTACAATTAAAATGTTTGATTATATAGTGCCAGGTGGATTATTGTCTTACGCTCTTCCGCACTCCCTGGTCCTCCATTGTACCCTCTATTGATCTGTTGTGTTGAGGTGTTGGACGGGGTGCGCTCTATTCCTGCACTAACAACTTCCTCAATCTGCTTGTTGCAGGGTTCTTGGAAATGTTTGAAATCATTCTGAACCTGGTGGTGCTGATCTGTGCTGCAGCAACCCAGAGTGCCTCTGCTGGCTTCGATAGCATTGGAGGCTTCGGGAGTACTTACTATTACAACATGGGCTATGCAAACAGCGGATTTCTAAACCATGAAGTGCAGCAGATCGCCGAGCTGGATATACAGTACAACAGGATGAAGTCGGCCACTGTGTACTGTGCAGTGGGGCTAAGTGTCATTCTGTTTGCTTTTGCCATGGCCTTTCTTGTTGCCAGATGCATAATGCAACACAAAAGATCCTCTGTGCAGGACAGCACATTCTCAAACTTCCTGATCATGGAGTGTGTGGTGAAGGCTCTTGCAGCTGTCGTCTACGTTATAGGAGTGGCATTGTACCTTCACTTCATTCATAAAATTAATGCCACTGACACGTGCAAGCAGAGGGAATCACTCTACAATAGACATGGCTACAGCTCGGTGAAATGTGCCATACTGGGCACTGAAGTTGCTGTTTCCATCTTTGCCGTCATGCTGATCATTGTGTACATTGCTGAAGTGGTACTCGGAGTTCTGGCTTACCGAAAGGTGCAAGCAGCACGACCAGAATACACCAAACCTCTGGGCACCTCTATCATGCATCATGCTACATTGCCTGAGGTGACACCAACTGAAGCCCACTTATCGTATATATAAACTTGAGCTTACACACACACAACAATCTGGATGCTGGAAATCTGAAACAAAAACAGTGTGTGCTGGAGACGCTCAGCAGATCTGGTAGCATCTGTTGAAAGAGAGAGAGAGAGAGAGACGCAAGCTGACATATTGAGTCCAATGACCCTTCAAAGTAAGCTAGGGAAGGGTGAATTTAACCTGATGACAGGGTGGGGTTGGGGGAAGAGGTTAAAGGTAAAGTTGCCAGAGAGAGCTGCTCTCTCTCTCTGTCTCTCATTAGAGAGAGCTGACCGGTGGTGGTTTAACCTGAGGGCTAAGAGGAGAGTCCTTTACAGTGACCTGAGTTGATGTGGGAATTGAACCCATGATGGTGGCATGATTTAGCATTACAAACCATTTGTTCCACCAGTTGAGCTAGTGGAATACATAATATACAGAAAGAGAGAAAAGGGATAGGCAAACAAGGAGATTACTGCTAGGCTCCAAGAGAGATAATGGCTAGGTATTAAATCTCTGTTTTTGACAATCCGTTTTTCTCTTACTCTCTCTGGGCACTGTCTTGATGTACTCTATTCCCTGCATCCATCCCATCATCAGCGTAAATTTCAGCCTCCACCCCCCCCCACCAACCAAGCTATCTTTGGTGACTTGACTCAAAACGTTAACTCTGTTTTCTCTTGACAGATACTGCCAGACCTGCTGTGTTTCTCTACCATCTTCTGGTTATGTTATTAACGTTTGGACAGGAGATTCCAGTTATAATAATACCTTTTTAATAATACACACAGCAAGATATATTTACCTGATTTTTTAGGTTTCAGGGTCTACAGTCAGTTTTAGAAGCAAAAGGTACCAATTCTCACCAGTCTTGGGGTTAGAGAATACTGTAATCCATTGATGCAATAATATTTGTGAAATAATTTTTGAGAATGAATAATGAAAGCTTTGTGCATTCAGAAACTGTGGATCTGAATTCCTGTCTTGGACACAACAATTGGGACCTCAGTCTTAAATAATACTTTCATTTCGAGCTTCATCAACAAGTTTAATGTTGACCTTAAAGAACCACTGCTCCTGTGCTGCTGAAGAGTATCAAATAGAAACACAGTAATGTTGTATCTTAGTGTGTACATGGGCAGGAGCAGGCTAGAAGTGTAGCGGGGCGGGGGGTGGAGGGAAGAAAATCTAATGCCTTTGTTTTAGAGAAAAATGTCAGATTACACATTGGGCCCAGTCTAACCTCCTGGCGTTTCTACCATTGGCCACAATTAGCAGAAGTTAGAAATCATTGTGCATTTTCTTGTTTTTTGTTTGGAGAGCACAATGGGTTTTGTGCCTATTCCAGTCTCCAGGCATCCTCTTTTGCCCTCTCTCTTGCCGTCTCTCTCTCTCTCTCTCTCTCTCTCTCTCTCTCTCACTGCTCCCCCTCTCTTTGTCTGCTCCCCTAACCACTTGAATCCCTTCGCTCTGACTCCTAGTTTCTTACCCTTCCTCTGCTCAAGGTCCAAACTGCTGATGGCCATTCCCTGGCCTCCTAGTCTACTCCCCCTCAGACCTTGAGTCTTACACCGAGTTTCTGTCACATTCTTCTACGAGCAACAGTTCAGGCCCCATCATGTCTAGCTGAGTCCTGTTTACGTTGTACATTTCTCTCTCTGTGTTGGAAACAGGACCTGAAGACTTGACCCTTGGAGATTCAACACTACACACTGTGGGCTGCGCTCTTGACACCACAGTTAATGTCTACTGCTAGGGTCATTTTGCCCTTGGGTGCCTTGGAATATTTTATAATTAACACGATGACCTCTTGAGTCAGAAAGGTCGAGTCCACCTCTGGGACCTGAGGACAGAAATCAAGGCTGATGCTTTGCTGCAGTACTGAGAGATTGCTGCACTGTCAGAGGTGCCACCTTTCGCATGAGAAGTTAAAACTGTATGCCTTCTCAGGCAAACTTAAAATATCCTGTAATACTATTTTGAAGAAGGAGGAATGGATTTCTCCAAGGCCCATCCCAAGCGGGTTTACCAATATTTATCCCTCAATCGTCACCATAAAAACTCATTACTGTGATGCTATTTGTGGGAGCTTGCTGTGTACAAATTGGCAGACTGAAAAGTGCTTTGAGAGGCACAGCATGATTTAAATAGAACTCCAATGCCAACATAATGTAGCATTCACATTCAGACATTCTGTATTTAAAAGTTGAGGTGGTTAAGCTAGTGCAGGAATACACAAATCTAATGACACTATTTAAATACTCTCCCCATCTGTGTAGAATTTCCAACCTCTTTATGGACAGATTCTTCACAATGCTAAAATGGATAAAATAATACAATTATCAGATGACAGTAGGGAAAATAGCCAATTTGACTTGATCACTGTACTTTATTGATTCCACACAGTTCGTCTACACTTAATGTTAGACTTAATGTTGTGAAATGGGTACATTAGATACCTGTCCGTCTGTTTCAAGTCTACACATTTACATATGTGCTGGTAGCTTCTTGCATAGCTGCAACTTTTGTTGTGGAAATGATTGAACAAATTTAGATATAAGCTACAAGTTATACACGGGAAGCTGTATGGCATCCTAGGTTTGAAGCTTTTTGCAAAACATGCATTTCTGCTAAAGGATTAAATCTGGGAGATAGGTTAACAATTTGGGTCAAATAGCTAGAGAATATTAATGTAGTCTTTATATTTTATTGTGAGTTTATGCCATTACATTTATGATTGTAATGAGGTTTCTGTTTGAGAGGACAGATATCTGAAATAATGACCTATTTCAATCAATCCAATTGTTATAAACCCGCTGAAAGGGAACATTTGGCCTGATTATTGATCCTTTGTCATTTCTTAGATCTAAATTTGAGATTACTTTCGACTCTCCATCTTTTACTATATATTGCAAGAATGAGAGTATGTTAACGATGTGATGTTTAAGATGATGTAACGTTGACAGCAGTCATATGTTATTAAGACTCTGAGAAATCTAGAGATGTATAACATCGAGATCAGAATTGTGCATAACATCTAAATAAGAGTTTGGAACCCTTGAGTGTTAGACTGTAGTTACCTTTAGGTAAAGTAGAGATGGAGATGCACCAGTCTGACAGTGGGGACTCTAAGCATGGTTGACCAGGATGTTGTCTGGTTATGAAGAGAGATTGGATAGACTGGGGTTGTTTTCCTAGGAATAGAGGAGGCTAAGGAGGGGCATGATTGAGATGTATAAAATTTTCCCATTGGAGGGATCAGTGACTAGTGGGCATAGATTTCAAAAAGGGGGCAGGAGGTTTAGAGAGGATGTGAGGGTGGGAGTGGGGAGGGTGGGAATCAACTACAAAGTGGTGGGAATCTGGAACTCACTGACAGTAAGAAGAGCGGAGGCAGAAACCCTCAACATTTAAGATACAAGGCTCTGGGCCAATAGCTGGAAAATGGGTTCAGAATAGTTCGTGTTTTGTTTTTGACCAGCACAGAGTCAATGGGCCTTTTTCTGTGCTGTAGGCTTCTATGACTCAATGACTGTCGAAGGAAGCAGAGTCTCAGTGGTACAGGACAAAACCCCAACCTGCCGAACCCATGAAAACTGATTGATTCAGGGTTTGTTAGTGATGGCTGAGCAAACCACAAATACTTTGAAGTAGTACATAACTCTCTGGGAAATTTGTGATGTTAAGTGACTTCTTTTGTAGACCAGTGGTGCCAGAGACGAAGGGGCAGCAGGTGCTATGTAGTACAGCTAAGCTAAAAATGAATTTGTACCCCTGTTTATTAATTGACAACAATGTTACTTCAAGCACAACACTGAGTTCTCATTTTTACTTCAGTTCATGTGATGGTAAATACATTTTACAGGCCAAGTCTCTTACAGAATGAAATACTTGACAATTTCTGATGGCACTATGTGGTGGGATCCTTCTTCATTATGTCATCTTGAGTTCTGATTATTTTACTTTTGAGGAATTTCACATTGCTTTGTTGGAGGAAATGTAACATAATAGCAATGATATAGATTGAGGCTTCTCCATACTGGAAGTTGGAAACCTCAAGTTCCCACTCTACCCCCTCACTACTTTTACAGTAGGGTCACATTGAGAAAATATTTAGGAAGCACTGGGATATTTTAAAATGATGCTGAGAACACATTGCAATACCTTGAGTTGACAGTGAAAAGGACAAATTACCTTTTTGGCATTGACTCCTTGAGACTGAAAGCTAACAGGCTTAGTCAATGAGGAGGTGTGTGTTCAGAAAGAAAATGTTTCATGGGATTTTGATAGGTGTGTACTTTGCAATGAACAATCAAGGCAAGTACATTAATTTTGGTTAATCACAAGAACATAACAACATTCTTAAATACAAGCTACACTACCACCCTTGAAGCTGATGCCAGCTAAGTTGCTTACATTCTTTAGTTTTATTTAGCAGTGTGCCGTGAAGGTGAGAAAAAGAATACTTGGAAAAGTACTTTTGTTAACTTAAATGTTGTTTGTATGATGTTTTGTCATTCTTTTAAGCAAAGGGAAGTATTTTGGAACGTCATCATTCTTGATTGAAGTATTTGACCGTCTTTAAGGTTTGACATTGCTAATGTTTCGTACAATTGTAAGACATTGTGACTTACCTTTGTAATTTAGTTTGATCTGGGCAGGACGCACAAAATGTACAGGGAGGACATCCAAACCGTACTATCGTGGGTGTGTCAGTCAGTAAACTAAATGTCAGCCTTAATTTCCAAATATGACTTTGTGGAAGATCTAAAACAGCAAAAACCAAGAATGAAAGAAATGCACAAGTCTAGAAAAGACTGCAGAGAAACAGCTGTGTTTCATGTGGTGGGGTAGGATACAAGTTTCATTCCTCAATTCAGTAGGAGTGGGCTTACAACTTTTAGGAAGGTTCTGAAGAAAAGTTAAACAAGTGCCTGGTTTCTCTTTTGACTCGCTGAGGAATACCAGAGCTCTTGGACATTTTGAAAATGATGTAGTGTGGAGCTGGAGGAACACAGCATCAAAGGGG